TTTTTAGATTATATGTTGGTGAGTATAATATTTTTCATGATAAAAAATATTACATATTTGTGTTGGAAAACTGTTTTTGTTAATCGTTTGTATCGAATTTTTTAACATATATTCAAGTATTAATTTAATATAATAGTTATGTTATTTAAAAATTTTATGTTAAAGTGATATTTATTAGTGCCAAAATGACATAATTTATTAAGTGAACAAGTAAAATAATATGTTTTAAAATGTAAATTCTAAGATAAATGAATGTAATTGAGCATATCATAAATATTAATTCTACTAAAAAAAAATTCTTTTTACAAACTGTCAATAAATACAAAAATTTAAGTAAACTGTTTGGGACATGTAACATTTATTATATTCGACATAAATTTCCCAATATATATATATATATAATGGCCTATATTTAAAAAAATTAGCGCGCTAATATACTATAGCTATAAATAGTTTACGTTATGGATACTATAGAATTTTAGAAATAAAAGCATGCTTTTAACGATGAAAACACGTTCTGAATACGACTTAATGTATAATAATATACAGGATGTCATGTAAGTGTTTTTTTCCATTCCTTTTGTGTAGACAGAGTAGGCTGAACTGTATCGAAAGATTCTCTACCACTTTGCAATTTTCGCAATGGTTAACAAGATATGAATTTTTAAATATAGCGGACACAGTTTAGTCCGCTCTATCACAAAAGCGATGGAAAAAAACTTACGTAACACCCTGTATAGTATGTGCATGAACATGGAACTACATTTTCTTTACATATTTATTATATAATATCTTATAATACATTATAATCAAATATATTGTTCAATTTTTTGTTATAATACAAATGTTTTTGTTAAAGTTAAAATTACTAATAATTCCAGAATCACATATCTACCTTAACGGAAGAGCAATTTGAAAAATACAAGAAAACTATAGCTACATCACGTTTAGGAAACCCAAAAAGATTAAGTGCAAGGTGTACCATATATTGGAATGAGATTATAGACCAACAATATAACTTCGATCGAGTCAATATCGAAGAGGCTTACTTAAAGACGATATCACTGCAGCAATTACTTAATTTCTTTAAGGTAATCAATTTACTCTTATATATAGAATATATCATTTAATGTTACTCTGAAAGGGAAATATTTTATCATAAAAAAGAAATAGAAAATGTACGATAACTTTTTTTTATATAAGATATAATTATCGAAAAAACTTCGATAATTGAAAAATTAATATATTATTAATATTATATGTACATCTGTCATATAAAATATATCTTTTAGGAAAATGTACATAGTAAAACTCGACGTAAATTGTCAGTACATGTGATCTCTACAGCAACATCAACGGAAAACAATTCACCTGATAACACAACTGACAAAACTGCCAATTTATCAATTAATAAAGAAGTTAAGAAAATCGATGATATTACATCATTCAAAAATAGTCAATCTTTTTATCCTCTATTTAAACCGCTTGAAAAATATTTTCTCAGGAAAGGTGTACGCTCTTCTAAATTATAAAAAAAGTGGTGATGAAGTATCCTTGGCGAAAATAGAAAAGCTTCCTGAAACGTTGAAGAAGCGTAGATGACTCTTCGTTGACTTTTCGTGGAGAGTTAGTGACGTTCGCTTAACGCTTCCTGATGCTCCGATTTTTGGAACGTTTGAATACGCTTGCCACACGCTTCATTAACTCTCCTTTGAACGTATATGGAACGTTGCCTTACGCTCCTTCTACGCTGCAGCGATTAAAATTTTTCTACTCTTGACTTACACTTCCCGAACACTTCATGAAAAGTGGGTAGAACGTTGCGTTACGCTACTTCTATGCTCCAAGGATTGACATTTTCTACTCTTGGTTTACACTTCCCGAACACTTCATGAAAAATGCACGAAACGTGGCGTTACGTTTCTTTAACGTTCCAAAGATTAAACTTTTTTTTCCTCTTAATTTACACTTTCCGAACACTTCATGAAAAGTGCGTGAAACTTTATGTTACGCTCCTACGGTCCAACGATTGACAGTTACTACTCTTGGTTCACATTTCCCAAACACTTTATAAAAAATGAGCGGAACGTAGCATTACGTTTCAATTTGATATTGTCTACATTTGATTTATATTTTTCGAAATCTTCGTGAAAAATGCGCGAAATATTGCTTGCGTTTCTTATAGAGCGCAATATGTCGTTTCGCACACTTTTTACAAAGCGGGTGGGAAATGTAAACCGATTAGAAAAATGTTAATCTTTGGAGCGCAGAAGAAGCGTAATGCAACGTTTCGCGCACTTTTTATGAAGTGTTCGGGAAGTGTAAATCAAGAATAGAAAATGCGAATCTTTTGAATGTAAAAGAAGCGTAATGTTACGTTCCACCTACTTTTCATAAAGTGTCCGAGAAGTGTGACCCATGAGTAAAAAATGCAGCGTAGAAGTAGCGTAATTAAAACCGTCCGGAATACTATACTTAAGTTTCTACACAGGGTCCACTAACATTCAGTGTTCATGGATCGTGGAAATAGCACTTCCCGTACGATTGCATAGTTCAGCACCATGGATGTTGGTACATGATTGGATGGGTGACCGCTTAGAAAAATAAGGAATTAATCCTCAACTGGAAGGTAATAACGTTCGTTGACGCTAGTATGACGTTACATTAACACCAGGGCAAGAGTACATGGAGAGTGATGAAGCGTCAATGAAGCGTCAGAATTCTATATCCTCAACGCTTTGTTACTTTCGGTGTACTCTTCTAGAGGAGTGAAGTAACTCTCTGTTAACATTTTTTTTACATTTAGTAAACACTTCCCTAACATTCTGATGTTCCAATCTACGCTACTCAAAAAGTTTGATGACGCTTTCATAACGCTGTCTTTACGTTTCGTCTACACTCCAATTTACGCTTCGATTACATTTGATTGACGCTATATTTTCACCAGGATAATAGTGAATAAGATGCATACTTTTATGCATAATCTGAGAAAATATTGATGCATTATTTTAGAGAAATTAATAAAATTAATGTACTCAAGGTAATTCTTTAGTAAAGTGTCGAAAATTTGGGGTGTTTCATCAAGAACCACCCAAAGGCATATTTGCATAATTTAGATAAAGTATTAAAACTATTTTAATGAAATCGTATAAAACATATGATAATAAATCAAGAGCTGCATCTTCATTAAACGAAAACAAGGTGACATTACAGTATTTACTTTTCGAGGTTAAATTTGTATGCAAGTTTGTGCATGTAAATATTTTTCCAGAATTCTAGAATGACCGTTGACCTATTACTTTTTTGTAACCATATTACAATCATAATTTTGTAAACTGTTAGAATTTTGTTTTTTAGAGAAGTCTATAATGCAGACAGCAGACAATATTTACAGTATTATTTACAAAATGTTTGTAAGATTTATGTTTAATATTTTGGTAATCTTAGATTGTATTACTCATGAAAAATTGAGTAACAAATGTTAATAGCGAAATATTGAGATGTCAATAGTTTTTGAATGGTGAGCCTGTCAAATTACAGCATGTAATAATTGTTTATTTTGTGTTTTAGAAGTAATAATTGTTTATTATTTAAAATGTGTATTTCTCTAAAATATATGCTTTTTAATGATATTTTATCAAATTTGCAATTAAAATTACTCTTCGGCAAAATTAAGGAGGTTTTCTCTTTACTTCGGCAAGAGAATGTAATATGTTAAGAATTACTTGAAATTTTGGACATAGCTTTATCTACAAAGTGTTTTTTAAATTTTTTCAGATTTTTTGATCAGCGCATTTTTCTGTAATAATAAAATTTTGTATTTTATATTAGATGATCTCTCTTTCTCTTATAGAAGACTCGTATATATTATATGTATATATATGTATCTGTTTTCAACAAATATAAATATTTGCAATGTTAAGAATCGAATAAATTTATGTTTAACCCTCGGACAGCGGGACGTCGTGATACTCGCATGCACGGCGGACGCAAAGTCAAAAGTGACCCCCAAGAGTAAAATTGATTCAAAATATTTGAGAAGCAGCTTTTTTATTAAAATATATAGTAAACTATTTCAAATATGTGTAGGAAGGGACATAAAAAGATTTTATTATCTATTAGGTTCGTATTTATATATATATAGTCGTTCCTCAAGATATTATAATTACTAAAATATTTTTATGTTTATTATTTGGTATAAAAAAAGAGTTCTTTAGTTTGTTTTAATTTTGTTTACTAAAATATTGCTTTTCAAGAATTTTTTTACTCAAGTACTATTAACTTTACAAAAAAACAGTAAAAGACAAAAATTGTTTATTTTTTTCTCATAAAGCTGTAGAAATTTTTTCAGAATTTTTTATCAACCGTTTAGTACTGCATCTTCTTATTATATAACAACTATTTTTACCAGAATAAGAAACTAAAAAATTCTTGAAAACCAATATTTTAGTAATTATAGATTGTTAACTATTGCGAAAATTACAAAATGGTACAGGAATTTTCGACTCAGTATTGTCTGTTCTACCCATGCACGAAACATTGTGCGGTTATTTCCTAACACCCTGTATAATAAAGAGAAAAAATATTTAATTTAATTCAATTATAAAATTTTAATTACACTGTATTTCAATTAGGGGAGACCGGGTCTCGTTGGCACAAGAGGTAAGTTGGCAGTGCGTTCAGTTTATGTACTTGCGGCAAAAGAAACAATGGAAAAATTATTGCAAAATATGTCTTTTATAACATAGGTACTTATCCTTAAGTTTCATTTAAATCAAACAAGTATTGTAATAAAAAAAGAGAAAAATGTAATTCAAGGGGCACGAAGCAGATTTTCGAGTTTTTTAATATTTCGTATTAATACTTCTCAGCTTGAGAAAATAAATCTAAGTGACGTATTATTAGTTAAAACAAAAGTTTTTGTTAGTATACGACATGCTATTTTGAGTGATGATAGTAATTTGTTGTAATAAAACCATTAAAATCAAATATATGTAGAGATGGGGTACGTTGACTCATATTTAATGCAACTTATGCAAGGTCAGCATAGGTTAGCATGATTTGTTTATCGTTCGCACATGAGTAGTGAGACGTCGGCGTCGGTGTTCTCGGCGTACTACCTACTTAGATCTAAAAATCTAAAAAATTGTATGTAACTTCGTATATATTTATTAAGTATATGAGAAAATAAATGTAATTATTGCAACATGTGTTACGATAATTGTAACAAAACTACTTAATTTAAGGTTAAATTAGAGATTAATTTTGTATACACATCGAATTATCGTAATATCTGAGCATGTTTCGTATTTTTGGGTGCTTTCCATTTAGCAACACAAGTCTACATAAATATCATTCTATCTCTCGTGATAGTCAGTGAATAACAAGGACAGAATGACACTTGGCGACTTGTGTCACCAAATGGAAAACATTTTGCTGCTTTTATTACTATTTATGAACAATCGCGAGTTTATTATATGTGTTTATCATATGTTTTTGAATACGTATTAGTATCGCTTTTAGGGTTCTTAAAGAAAAAATGAGAAATTATAAGAGAAAAACTAACAGAGCCTCTGTGCCGGAAGATATTGTGATGAGAGCAGTAAATAGTGTAGTAGATGATGGCCAAAGCTATAAGAGCATGTCAAATGCATATGAAATTCCGATACGATCTTTAATCAGATATTGTAATAAATATAGAAAAATGAATATTCATGAAGCGAGTATATCAACACAAAATAAATCTTTGAATGTAGGATATAAAGAATTGTTCAAAATTTGTTTTTAATGATGTGGAAGAAGTTAAATTAGAAAAATATCTCATGAAGTGTAATGATATTTATTTTGGACTATCACAAAAAGAAGTGAGAAAACTGGCATACCAATATGATGTTGCTATTGAAGCAAAATTTCCTGAAAGCTGGACGAAGAATATCATGGTTGGACCAGATTGGTTTACTAAATTTATGAAACGCCACACAAAATTGAGTATAAGATCGCCTGCAACAAGTGTAGCTCGTGCTACAAGCTTTAATCGTACTAATGTGGAATTGTTTTTTAACAAATTTAATAAAGGTTATGACACGATTTAAATTTCAACCATGTGATGTATGGAATATGGATGAGACTGCAGTGTTTACAGTGCAGAAACAAAATAAAATAGTGGCAAGGCGTGGCATTAAACAAATTGGACGTTTGACTTCTGCAGAGAGAGGACACTGGTTACAGTAGCTTGTACTGTATCAGCTACTGGGAATTCTGTTCCATCAATTTTTGTGTTTCCTCCAGTTCACTTCAAGGATCATTTTATCCACGATGGTCCTGTGGGTTGTGCTGGAGGAGCCAATCCAACAGGATGGATAAATGAAACAAATTTTCTTATATACTTGACTCATTTCGTAAAGAATGTGAAACCCAGCCGAATCAATCGTGTTCTACTTTTATTAGATAATCATGACACTCATTTATCAATTAATACTCTTAATTTTGCAAAGGAAAATGGAATTATTATGTTGTCATTTCCAGCGCACTGCTCTCATAAGATGCAGCTATTAGACGTCAGCGTTTACGGTCCATTAAAAAAATTTTTAAGTACTGCTCAAGATTCATGGATGTTAAGTCATCCAGGTAAAACTCTTAGCATATATGATATACCTGGTATCGTCAAAGAAGTTTTGCCCTTGGCTCTAACACCTTCAAATATTATGATAGGTTTCAGAGTAAGTTGAAAAGTCTTGTATTTTAAATAATATTGTTACAGTTACTACCTATATTTTGTATGTGTGGTTATTATAACTATTTATTTTACTCTATAATTTTATAAATTAATTTCTAACATATGCGAATTTATAATTTTCGGTATAAAATATTTTAATATCTTACAAGTAATATTTTTTTTGCAGAAGCCAGGCATCTACCCATTAAATCAAAATGCATTTACTGACATGGATTTTGCTCCATCATACGTGACAGATAGAGTTGAAGCACCTCAACAAGAAAACATAATTACAATATCAAATGTAGGTAAATATATATACCTATATAAATTATATGTATATGTATATATATAAATTTAATATTATAATAATAAAAATTTATATATATGTATATATAATTTTATAAGAATTATCTACACAGGCTGTTTTTCTTTAAACTAATATAGAAACAAAATATAACAGAGCTTTGTACAGCTAATGTACAACTTTTTAATCAAAATGATTTATGGACTGATCCTTATAATTTAAATAAAATTCCTGTCGCAATATTATCTGTAAGTACACGAGTATTATTTTAGTTTCGTCTTTATATCTTTTCCTAATTACTATAATATAATTTATTGTTTTCTGATAGAGCGATGACAGGTAGAATTATTAAAAACTTGACTTAAGAATAAAAAAAAATTTTATCTTAACAATAATAAACTGGAAATTTATAATTCATGTAACAGTTTGTGTATTATTTATTTTGTTACATTTATACCTATCTATTTAATAGCTGCGTTTGGTAACGTAAATCTGAGGCGTCGGAGTGCTCTTATATTATAGCATATGTGACATGTACTGTAGAAAAAGAGCACTCTGACGCCACAGACTTGCATTGCCGAACGCAGTTAATATAAATATGTCTAGGGTAAAGCATGGAGCTATTTCGTTCATTTTTTATAGTACTGTCGATGCAAGGAATAGACAGCTGACTAAAATTGTGTACATCAATGCCTACTAATGTCTAAGTAATACCCAAGTAATGCTCAAGTAATATTCAAAATTTGTACACCGTAACGTCTCCTCAGCAGTTTATTCCTCATATTTATGTTTCTCAGCAGCGTATACTGAACATTTAAAGATCATACTTGTACTCTCAAAAATCAATCATGATTGCATAAGATAGTTATAAACATGTTACTGCAAGATATTATTTTATATTATCTTAAAATTGAAAATGATGAAATAGTTTTGTTCTACTCTATATATTTTTAGTATTTTAATATTTTATTGTATTGATACTTTATTAAATATAAAATATTTAATAAAACATTTTAAATAAAGATTATTGTATTAATAATTTTTTTGAACAGTTATAATTTTGTTTTATAGTGTTTTTGAATATTGTTCAGCACACATTGATGCATAGATTATAATAGATTAACTAAATTCATAGATTCTTAAAATTTTTATTTATATTTACTTCATGTTTATAAATCAAATTGTTAAATCGGTTTCTGTTGTGGCGATTGCTTTGCCACAAATTTAAAGATTTCCTAAATCGTTGTCGTTTAGAGATATCTACACATATAGATACACGAACACATACTTGACATACACAACAAGAAACAGTTAGACGCAAGTGTAAATCTCTATTTACTCTCTAGAGAGCCTTTTAAAGCAACGAATTTCTTGCGACCGTTTTTGCATTAGTTTGGCAATACGAGTCGCAGGTAGGGAAAAAAATAGGATAGATGAATATAAACTCGAGATGCACAATTAGATTTCTGTAATTGATGTATGGTTTTATTAGATTTGTATGTTATTTTTACAAGAAAAGCATGTATAGCAAGAGAATTGTAATTTAATTTATTATTTTAAAATTAACGATGACAACCGAGATAAATACACGCGAAATAATATTTACCAAAAATAGAAATTGCGAGAAAGACGCAACGGACGAGAAG